AGTGTATTATTTGTTGAAACTGTACTTTCGATTTGATTTGAAACTGTCTCATTGCTATATGTTTATCAATAAAACTTTGAAAAGAAAAAAAAATATGTGCTAAATGTAAGCCACACCAAAAGGAAGGCAGTAGGAGCTTCCCTCTACAGACCCAGACACTGAAGAGCAGCAGATTCTGAAACTTGCTCAGACTAAGCCATCCTGCTTTACCAAGATGCTCCCAGGAGGAGCAATCCTGTGGCTCTCCCAGGTTCTTTATTCCTTTTCTACACGTATCTGGAGTACCCAGTAGCACTGCATATGGTAGCTGTCAAGGACTGTCTTAACCAAAAGCAAAAAAATTCTTTAGAATGGTTCTGTTATAAGTCTGTAAAAGAATATTCAATGAAAATTACTACCTATTCATATTATTTAGCAAAGGAATGTCTTAAAAAGGGAAAAATTCTTTATTGTAACTGAAGCAAAACTAAAATATTATAATTACTAAAAGATAATCTGAATAAAGAACATTAATGTCTAGCCTATGGCTTCTCAGAATTTTATAAAGCACTGTCACAGTCATAATTTTATTTGAAAAGCCACTGAAAGTCTTACATTAACGCTCCTATTGACATTAGGTAGGAACATAATTACTAAGAAAAATGCTTCTGTTCTTATGTCCTAAAGTCTGTACCCACACATGCTTTCTCACATATATTCTGGTTTACTCAAGTATCTCTCACCCATTTATTTGGTCAACTAGTGTTCTCAGACAATCTGTAGTGGACAGAGCTGAATCTAGGCTTAGGCTTATCTGTGGTTCTGCAGTATGGACCGAAATTCATTTAAACGCCTACTGTCCCACCTCTTTCTTGGATCTTTTTTGTCATACCTGGAAGATGGAGCACAGTCTTTCCATCCTTTTCATTTTACCAAGATGAAATGCAACCATATATGACAAGTATTCTCTATAGAAATGTATCAAACAAATGGCTTTGACAAAGGCCTAACAAAATATGACTTAGGAAAAATCTCTTGGGCAAATCAATTGTGTATTTTGCTTTTCTGTGATTCTTAGATTCATAAGACCATGTTTATCACCTCTGATTTTTTTTAATGGACCTGGTAATCATAAAAAAGCATATAAAGGAAACAATTTCTAGGCATAGAAGCATTTCAAAATGCTGAAAATACAAAACAAAATCATAATTCACTTCAACAGACACATATTTAGTACTTCTGTGGTATGGTAAAAGCATACAGCAAAGCAATGGGGATACAAATGCAAATGCTGGGCTGGAGAGATGGCTCAGTGGTCTAAAGCACCTACTTAGAACAAGCTTAGCAAAAGCATCAGGGACCGCGGTTCAATCCCCCAGCACCACATG